ACATCACCCATTGCTTTAATGGAAAGGTCCTCTCCATCAATTTCAATTTTATCTTCCCCCCAGGTTTCTTTTTCAAAATCGTGTTTGTTTTGAATGCATTGGGTATAGGGAGATTTGTCTTCATAGCTTTCGTATAACCGGCAAAACGATTTTTGTATCTGACCCATGATTATCACGTTGGTAAGGTATGAATAATTATGTGATACTCAGGATTAATCACAGTCAGGGGTTATATGGTATCCTTCCTGAATGAAAATAAAGTCTCTGTTTTAATTAAGCCAGAGCTTTCCAGCTTTTGCAGCTATCCGCCCTAAGCAGAAGCATCCCCTCATTCGTTGTCGGGAGTGGTTGTAGGAGTGGTCATTTTGTTGGTAGCGATGCGACTACAACGCTTGCATCTCATATTTGTTTGTGAACTAGCGATGCACAGTTTATGCCACCAAAGGAGCCTCCGTTGTGAGGAAAATTGCGCCCTCTGTTGGTCCAGCTCGAGGCTCAAGGATATGAGTTTTGAATCTAATTAGCATAGGGCCTATGCCAAATCTAACAGAGTCACTAATGCACGTACATATTTCTGTCTCAAAATATAACACAGATGATGAGGTTCTCGCAGTGTCCACAACACAAAAGGTATTTCCGGATGGACTGGAAGTCCGGCTTGGTGACAACCACGGCCAACTGAGCGGACTTTTACATGTCCGCCACAACAAATCCACTTGGGGTCGCGCGTGCGTTTACGGCACGGAGCAGACCCGGGCTATGGCTGAAGAAGCGTGTCTTCGCCTCGGCTCTCCCTACGTTCAGTCGACTAGTTTTCTCCCGGCCCTTGAGGGGAACGCTGGTTTGGAGTTGTTGTTCCGGGTTGATCGTCAGAGTAAAATACACTGGCTGCAAGTGGAGAAACACTGCGCGAAATATGGAGGAAGAATGTTCAACGTGACTTGCAAAGAAGGTGGTGATATTAACATGATGTTCTTATTTATATCGAAAAAATAAAACTGGCTAACGAATTATAGTAAGAGATCATTAATTTATAACGCCTAATTACTTCTGACATTTTGTCACATAGGCACCAAATCAGTGTCTCATATTATCTCATTAAAAGAAGATGTCATAAGAGGGAAATGAAACTTATAGCATACATGCCACATGTAAATGTTTGAAACGTTGAACAGAAAAAATCTATGATAACAAGATTTAAAGTGTGAACAGTGAATTAATTTCTAGAATAGTGAAAGACTAGAATGGTAGGATTGCTCTGGCTCACTGGACAAGGTAGTTCATTGGGATACTTCAGGGCGTCTTTTGTCTTATTCAGTCATAGTAGCTGTCACTTCTCTCAGAATGGCAACGAAAATGTTTCATTTTTCATCCTTCCGAGTCGTGCACAAAAAATTGTCGGAATGAAATAGTAACCGAGTTTTTGTTTCTGGCAGGATTCACACTGAATGGTATGACCGTGTTCCTCCCCGACTTTGCCACGTGTAGAGGCTTCTGCGGAGCGCTTCCCTCCATAGTGCATACTTGCGGATGCGACGCTCTCTGCCACGAGTTTAAAGATTGTTGTTTCGATGTAAAGTCCGCCTGTCCACTCCAGACCAACCAGTCACCAGCGAATGCCAACCAGACACAGGGTCTTTCTTGGTTGACCGGCAACTCGCTGTACTACGAGTGTCATTACGATGAAAGCCTCCGCCACTCCTACCAACTCGTTAGCAAATGTCCGCAGTCGTGGTCGGATGTCGCTGTACGGGAGTACTGCGAGGAGCCGTCCTTTCAACAGGCCATTCTCTATCATTCCAGGAATGAGACCTACATCCCTTTCAAGAGTGCCGCGTGCGCTCTCTGCCATAATCTTGCAGCAGTCCGTGTGAGTGAAGGTGAGCCAATCTTTGTGCCTCCGGAGGCAGGCACGCCGATGATATCGCCAATGGGAGACAACGAGAGTGTGACAGCCGCTTACTTCGCCCAAACGCCTATCGTTCCGACATCGATTGTCAAGGAGTTGACATTTCATCCGATCGACAGCCAGGGGGACTCCGTACACCTCCGTGCCTGCAGCCTTTCCGGGACTGTTACCAGTGACTGCTTGTTGGCAGACACCTCCGAAGACTTGCGCGAGGCTTGCAGGGCTTATTCTGCGGAGGTTCGGTCAGGTCGGGACCTTCGCGCGTTTAAGAATCCGCACTGTGCTCTCTGCAATGGAATATCACAAGAAGAATTAATTTTGGCTCCTACATCCATCGATATAATTCCATGCTGTGACGGAGGAGACGGGTACAAACTAACATTATCGATACCGGAGCCAATGCAAACCAGGACATCCTTAACAATCACCATCGGAGAAGAAATCTCCTGTCTCTTGAAAGACTTTAAAGTAGTTACCAAGGTGGGCGAGGCCTCTCCTGATGCTGCTGCAGATAGCCCTCATTTTTCACAAACGGCATTTTCGGCGCTGGAATGTATTCTGCGAGCAGTGGCCTCCTTTCACATTGAATTAGCACTAGTTTTCAGTAACTCTCTGAAACAGCTAGCCTTGATGTCCAGGAACAGTACAGAAGACACGGCCTATGTGTCTAGCCCGGCGTATGCATATTCCAGTGAACTGGAAAAAGTCGTGAGTGACATCCTCCTAACGGGTGATACTCGTGGCGACAAGGTAGAATCTTACTGGAGGAGAAAGTGCGATGCTACAGAGATCACGCTAAAAGAAGAGTGCGTGGTCCATGTAAATGACATCTCAGGCGCGGAATGTTTCCGAGTTGTGGGAAACGTAACCACAGCTACCATAAATGGTACCCAGTACATGTATCTCGGCGAAGGTATTTTTGTGACTCCTTCCAATGTATCCTTGTTTGTTACCTACGAAAAGGACCAAACAACGAAAACTTTTACAAAGAGAAAGTTTGCTCAAATTTGTGGGGTTGTTCCCAAGAATATGGGCTGCGATATTCTCCCGGAGGATCAAGCCGAATGGACTAAAGTTGCCGATCAACAGGTGATATGGTATCAGGGGTCGGCACTGAATGAAAGCTCGTTTGTCATATTACCGGATGGTTATATTGTCGTGTGTACAATCACCACTGTGTCATACCCAGATCCATTCGAGGGTCCCGAATATGTTATACAAATTGTGTGCACATCTCTGTCACTCTTAGCACTAGCTGCCACCATAGTGACTTACTGTGTTTTTCCCTCTTTGCGGAACGCCCACGGCCTAACGGTGCTCAGCATGTCGGCGGCGATATTCATCGGCCAGTTCTTGCTTCTTTTCGGTTTGAACCAGACTGGGAACCACGTTTTCTGCACCGTGGTGGCGATCATCACCCACTACTCCTGGCTGGCAGCGTTTGCTTGGATGACTGCCATCGCCTGGGACCTGAAGCGCACGTTCTCAGCCCCTGTCGGCAGTCTGCGAGCTGCCCACAACAGTCACACCTTCCTTTGGCTCTCGCTGTTCGGCTGGTGCTCTCCGCTGGTGGTACTCATCCCGTGTCTCGTCGTGAATTTCTGCGACTGTACAGGTCTCAGCTTCAGTTACGGCCGCAAGGAAACCAGAATTTGTTGGATCTCAGATGAAGCGGCCATCCTGGTTTCCTTCGGGCTGCCGATTGTCTTGTCACTCTGCGCCAATGTTGTTCTCTTCTCCTTAACTGTCAGGGCTATCCGGACTACTAAGAGAGCCTCCTCTTTAGTTAACGAGGACAAAGACAAAAGGACGGAAACCCTTCGGGAAGTGGTTATATATGTGAAGGTTAGTACATGGATCTGGAATAACCAGATATTTAATGTTGTGATAATGATTCGTTGTATTATGTTGTAAATACCGATATCGATGGACACAAAGTGCACTTTTTTGCAATCAGATTTTGTTTTGAACAGATATCGAGTGTCATGGGCTTTGCTTGGATCATCGGGTTTGTTGCCCTAGCAACCGACGTCAGCGTGCTCTGGTTCCTGTTTATTATCTCAGCTGCACTTCAGGGCGTCTTCATTTTCACGTCCTTTGCTTTCAACAACCGAGTCCGGGATATGTGGAAAAAAAAGCTGCGTCCTAAGAAGAAAGGGGCACATGTTGGTGGACCTGCCCCTTCTGATAAAGGTGTTAATGCTAACGAAGTGACTGATGGAACGGCCAGTGCCTCTGTTTAAATGTACAGAGTTATACCGTAAACTAGGGCACCGGTAACTTTGGTGCAGGAGTGTAACTCCTTTTGGGGTTGGGTGGGGGTGTATATCCCAAGCCCTTTCTGACCAGGGTTGGGCTGTGGATCATCTCCCTATATTTTTGTGGTAAGAAAAAAAGCTGATTCCGATGGTATTATTTGAACTTCCTAGCAATCAAAATGTGTTCAAAAAAGAAAAAAGAGAAAAGAGCACAAAATCTTTGAATACGCTCTATGATGTATGGCCCAGAGTGTGCGTGATGAACACCACCACCTAGTGTCATGTAATTTCCAGCTTCCACCCTTGCCTTTCGAATATCCACGGTCGGGTAAGGTTTGTTTTAAAGCAATCCTGAACAAAGAAATAAATCATGGAAGGATCCTTTTCACAAAGCTATAATACCTAGATATTAGAGTTTTAGTACGGTGTTCCGAAGGTTGCAAGATCAAATTCTGCTCCAATCAACGGTCTTATCTTTACAATTCTTAGGAAAGTCAGTTTTCCAAGAAAGTGTACACCTCAGACGACGTATTTTGTGGAACGTCATTGTTCTAAAACGAATTCGATATGTGCATTAAAACAATAGTATATTGATGACAGATCATCAGTATAAACCAAATATTCATCTTGTGTTTTCGGTGGTGCTGGTTTAAAATTACATTTCCAGTGAACTAAATGGGACATTTAAAGGACCAATGACCGACATCTTGAAATATAAATTGTGTAAAAGTGTCGGTTGTGTTTAGGTCCTGAATATCCATAAGCAATGTAACTACTTGATACAGTTTGCTGGTCTGCATAATTTTTGTAATACTGGAAAACCACCAACATAATTAATATCCTTAGGTGAATAGACGTTTTAATGGATCTTTAAATGCAGAAAACATTATTCTAACAGAAAAACACGTGAAGCGGAACAATATGATAAGTCATTCAAAAAATTACACTTGGTTTAGAAACAAGATAGGTTGTTCTACGAACTTCGTCTACAAACAAGATGGGTCTTTTGAAAACAAAAACTGTACAACGATATGAAAGACGTATTAACACCTATTCCACATTAAAATACAGTCACAATGACTTCAAATACATGCCGAGATAACTAACTACTGCGAAAGATTTTCCTAAAGGAAGTTAATAGGAATTTCTGGGAACGACATCAGCTGACTGCAGAGGGACTGTCTGGTACAAGTACTCCAAAAATGAACCAAGGATGTACTTCTATATTAAACAGCATGTGCAGATGTAGGTATAATCATATCATTAAAATTGAATGCTTGTTTTGAAATTATTAAATTTCCGTATACAACGTGCAGAAAAGAGAGAGAGGGAGAAGAAAATGCTGAATATTTGAACTGGCAGAACTGAACTGTTTAATGAATGAAAGTTAAACAACGAATCAGAGCTGAATTAGTTTTTAATGTCTATTAAACATATCGGTGAAAATACATCAGTTGTTCTCAAATCTCTGAATTGATAATTTATTGGAATACTGGGTATAGGTAAAGGCCAAACGACAAATATCCGGAAGGTAAGGAGAAACTGTTGCATTAGAATTATAAATTATATGGAAAAAGAGTAAAATGGTTCGAAACCATAGAAAACAATTGTTCATATTGACAATCGACATATCTACATTGGCCTCTCCCGTAAAATGTGAGACCTCCAAACATCTAAAAAGTCCAGCGCCATTTTGTTGACTCGCTCCAATCAAATGATCAAATGCTTCGGTGCCTCTCTGCAAAGGTCATCATAAAAACTACGTATATCCAGTGAGCACTGGAGTTAGCCCTATATTAATTTCAGGAAGAGTTTCATTTGTTCTGTAAATACAATCCCAAACCAGTAAGCAAGGAAGTTCGCTTCTATTCTACAGTTGTTTACTATCAACACTTTTTTCCATAGCAAAGTCTTCATTGATGTGACCACTGGAAAAGAAAAATACATAAGATCAAAACTCAGAAGCCACCTGATTCTTAAACTAATTATTCACGTCCCTCAAAGGAGGTTCACTCCATACGGGTAAGGCTACATGCCAACATGAAAACATCTTGAAAGACAAATGCTGGAGAGCTCTTTGCACTGTTTGGGAACAGTTAACAGAGTAAAAAGAGAAAAACTTTTTCATATGTGATAAACTAACAGGAAAGTCAAAAAGGATTTAAGTACGACAGTGCATTTATGTATTCAAGGTTAAATAACATTAAAGCTTACCTTTTTTCATGATATATGTCCTTTTTTGCATTCTTATTTCTTCTGAAGACAAAATACCCGATGGCTGCCAGGATGAGGAGAAGAAGGACGCCCCCTGTCACTGAGCAGGCAATGATGACTGTGAGGTTTGCCGGGGTATTTTTGTCACCGTTGTCACCTCCCCCGTCTGTGACAGTAACAGGTTCGCACTGAGGTCCCACTGTATTCGAAGGGCATCTACAAAGCCAGTGTAAAAGTGGGACTAAAATGCTGAGCTTTAGGCTCCAAGTGGGTCTATGCTGCTCTTCAACCTTTCACAAGCAGCCGCTGCACCTTCAGCGAAAGGAGTAGAAACTGCTTGAATGGAGACTAAAATACGGTACCTAAAATGATTCCGTATCGGAATCACTTCGTTAATAGAGCTGATGGTAACTGACACGACGAACGTTATCTGCCCCAGTTTTTAGGATCTAGTTCAAGTGACGACCACTTTGTCAAGCACCGGTCAAAATGTTGTCAGGTACCACCCAGTAAACACATTGTGCACAGGCTATCAGGCAAATTCCACCATTGGTGGTCAACATCGGTCGTCGCTCGAACTCGATAGTCAGTAGCGTCAGCAGTCTTGCGTGACATTGTTGGCTAAAGGTAAGTGAACCAAACAGGCCTTAAACCTAAAATAAGGATAATGGCCTGTAAGTAATAATTTGCGAAAAAATAAATATGATTCAAAGCTGTAACTGCCCCAAAGCACATCCCTGAAAAACGTTGTTGTACTCTACTGCCTTTGTCAGTAGTTTAGGATACATTGCCATGATTTCTAGATCTTATAATTTGTAACATAACCATAACCTTGTACATTTCTTCACTTGAGGAAAGACAAATTAATTGTCGTCAAAAGTTGCAGTTTTTCCTTGTCCTATTGTGAATAAGACGAATGTCGTCCCCATGGTCTTTATATCGTTAGCTTTACCTCATTTAGATTTTCATAATTCAGCAATAATGCCTTCCTTCCGTTTACCAACCAACACCAACAATTAACTTCCAAGACAAGCGTTTTGAAACAAAATTTGTTTCACTCTCAGAATTTCATGTTGTGTCTGAATGGGTAATCCTTACCTGCACTTGGGTTCGTAAGGAGGGTGGTGCGTGCATGTACCAGCATTGCAGAATTCCGTAGAGCAGAGTGATTCGCAAACGAAGAGGCAGCTTGTATCGTCCTCAGCCTTCATCTCTTTTAAGAAGAATCCGTCTCCGCAATTGGGCTTTTCAAGGGAGTTGCCGCACAGATTTGTCAACTCTTCAAAGGAAAATATAAAGTTTTAATACCACTCGGCGGTCTCCATTTCACTGGTATAAGAGTGCTTCCAGGGTGAGCTAACAGGGGCCATGCCTCCTCCAAAAACAGCCAAAATTTGTTTCAAAAACCGAGAGACAGGTAATGTTGGGGCCTCAGTATGTATCCCTAGCCATCAAGGGAGCTTTCAAAAATCACATAAAAGGATCTATAAAGACCTAAAGCAGGTTACGCCACTTACCCTTCGGAGGGTTGCATTCTGTGCAATCGCTTACAAGTTTCAAGCCTCCTAGGTCTCCATCTGTGACACTGGAGGCCAGTGTTTGGTCATAAAACACTTGAGCAGATGTTGCCCTTTGACTCGTCGACAATCGCGAATAGTCGTACACTGCCACGTGGCCGAAGCTGCCCGCTCTATATAAAGAAAGTGGCATTCTACAGACTTCTATTTCCAGGAAAAAAGGTTGGGTCCTCATGAAATTGACGATGAAAGAAAATCAGCCACGTCAATCTTAATCAAAATAACAACACTGTATGATGTCAAATCTTACCTCATTCTGTTCTGGTCAAATATAATTTGAAGGAGTGCTGGGGAAAACTCAGTGTACTTTTCCCGTAACTGGAACATGAAAACATATGGGATTTTTGAGTTAGGAGCAAGTTTTCCTTTGTCTAATTTATTATTCACAACATCTGATTTATTAATGGCTGCACTAGAAAAATCAGTATGGTCTTACAGATTTAAACTTTGCACGGAAATGCACTTCGGATTAATCCACAAGAGTCTGAGCTCTTTGGTCCATTTGGCAGCTGGGAGTGGACGCCTAAAATCTTATCTGCTCCATGCCTAATTAAAACATTCATTGTCATTCTATCCATCAAGTTTTGATTCAACCTCTCGGAAGCGTAAACTAGTATCTTGATGTTGTTTCGTTGTTCATACTAATTTCATTTTTGTTCATAGTGCCAGAAATTTGAGCTTATGCGTGTGATCTACCTCCGGTAAATTGTAAGGATTTTGTGCGTATACAGTTGCTGTAATATTTCTCTGCCTTCAAAGACTGAACAGAATGGCAACTACCAATGTAGAATTTCATGAAGTGGCTCCAGGACAAAGCAAACTTGTTTTGCACCTTAGCAGACTATGTCTGCACGGACTTGTCATAACCCTGTCTCAAGAAGAGGTAGGCCTATATGCATTAAATTGCTACAATGCAAAACTTGCCTTTTGGTTGAAAACAGTCTGAAGAATCTGGCAATCATCTGACATGGGATCATTTGCAAGGTCACAACCAAACATAGATTCACTGGCCAGTCTTACATCAACGGAAAACATTTTTTCGAGAGGTCCTGCAAAAACAAAGTTCATTATTCGTAGCAAATGAAACTTCAGCTACGATTAAAATGAAACATCAAAATTTGGTTGATACACAAAATACATTAGGATACAGAATGAGCTTTAAAATCAACATTTAACTTCAAAATACTTTTATGAGCAAGATACAGCTAAGCAATGATGAATAAACAATTATAGCAACGTAAATGTAACAAAAACAACTTAAAGTTAAGCTCATTTGCCTCAGAATATAGACTTTTACTTACTTTTATCAGCTTCCGGGTTGGAAATGTCTGGATACATTGGGTACGGATACTCTGTAGTGAAAAACGAATGCGATAAAAACTTACAACGACCATATGAGCTTTTAAATGATTTTCTCCGTACCTCATGAATATTCTTGAAGGTTTCCCTTTCTGGACACTCATCAACTTTTAAAAACAGAAGTAAGCATACCTCTGCAGGTAGTGCCGGACCCAAAGAATCCGTCGGAGCATTCACACCTGTAGCTGCCGACGGTATTTACGCATTCCGCATTGGGTTCGCAACGGCCCTCCTCATTGCACTCATCAATGTCTAGAACAACATACCGATTAAAAAAAAGCATGCTGTCATTGGACGAAAGAATGCTTAATGCGACAAAATCTCATTTGGATTGGGTAGAGGAACTGCTCCTATGTTAACTCTTTTATACCTTAAACCTCACCTTTAAACATCAAACCGAGGCTGTCATAATATACACGTTCAACTAGGACTTCATATTAGTGAAATGACATGGAAAAAATTCTTTTTTAGATTGTTGAGGACACAGTTCCTTCATACCAAAGTGGAACCACCATGTGGAACCACTCTTGAAAGGCCTAAACACACCTAAACATTTCATATTGAAAATATCCATACATTTAGGCATGAAATGATCTACGTATATGTAAAAATGTAGAGTGAAACCATAACTTGTAACCTACCTTGACATTTGCCATTGGCATCTGTCGTAAAACCACTAGAGCAGTAACAGACATACTCATCTTCATTCTCATCGTATCTGCACCTTCCGTTTGGATTGTTCTCTTGACATTTTGCACAGCTCAGTGTTGTGGGAAATCTGATTGTATTACCTGATTGAAGTGAAATAGATAGTACCGCTGTCTATAACGTTGAGGCTACTACGGCCTACGACAGGTCATGCATGGGTTTTAAGGCAAATACACTCGTGAAACAAACTTGATGATTAAAAGTTTTATGAAGACGAATTTTGATCAAAAACTTATTTGATGAGCGAAAATTTTTCCTTACCCCGAGTGTACACTGTGACTTCAAAAGTGCAGAATCCTAAGTTCATTGCCTGGTCAAACGCAGTGCACACCACAGTGGTCGCACCAGGTTGGAAGACGCTACCACTCCTTGGTATGCAGCTGGCTGCAATGGTCCCAGACACCTCATCTTCTGCCGTGACCCCTCCCCATGAAATCTGAGCAGTGTCCTTCCACCGTTGGTGATAGGGGTCTAGGTCAGGCGGGCAGTTGACCAGGGGAGCCCTTCCATCTGCGCAGGGGAAAGATAGTGGTTATACTATGCTCCCTTAAAATACCAGCGTGCGCTGGCACGGTCGATGTCCTCATTCATCTTAGATATTTATGTTCCAAAGACGAAGCGCTTGCTGTGCCCTGGCTAGGTCTGCGGGGGATAGTCCTGATGTCACCGCCTACATGGATTGGTGATTGCACCACCAATTGAGTCCTGTCCATTTCATCTGGTATAAGAGCGCTGGTACTGTTCCTACTTACCTCTCTATTACAAAGTTTTCGTCGTATTAGTTGGGTTTAAAAACTTAAACTTTGACCGTTGGATTTCTTATTAGACGTGTACATCACCACCTTAGCATGACGTATGGTGAATACTGCAAGCGCACAATTCTGTATAAGGCGCCAGCGCGACAACCAGCACGTGAACCTACAAGTATAATAGCGCACGTACGTGCGTTCAGACAAGTCTTTGCACAAGGATAGTAACTGAATGTTTTATACATGTAGTCCTTTGAAATTTCCCTGTGCTGACAAAATTAGGAAGTAACATTATCTAATTGAAGCAAATTATAGTCAATAGGCCTACTAGTAGACTTTGCATCAAGCAGACTCTCACCGATGAAAACCTTAAAGCTGCATGATGAGCTATTCGTTCCGGGGTCCGCGTAGATTGCTGTGCAAGTGACCTGAGTAGTTCCCACTGGGAATTGGCTACCGCTCGCTGGTTGGCAATCGACGTTTGCTCCAGACTCCGTTGGACCAGTCCAGGAAACTTTAGCTGTCGTCTGGCCCTCGTCCGGTCGTTTAATGATGTCGATGGGGCATTTGTGTTCAAAAGTCACCTCTGGAAATTTACAATACTTGGCTTTTAGATCGACCTTCACATAATTTCAAAATTGACTGATATTTTCATTTGATTTTATTTTGATTATTAGAATATCTTTGGTATACAATCCATTATCTATTTGCTATACATTAAGCATGGGTGCCCGAACTTATTTTAAAACACTTAAGGAAAAACGAGAATCAAAAATGAGTTTACTGAGAAAGAGAAAAACGAACTGCCCTTATTTCAATCCTGATAAAACATCCTGAAAACAATGTAAACAATGGCAAAGAAAAGTGAAAACAACATACTCGTCCCCGTCCCGGATGTATAAGGTTGGAAATTATCCCGAAATTGAAAAAGTAGAAAGGGTTAAACTGACAGGAAATCTTACCATCTGCGCATTCCTCTCCTCTCCAGCCGCTAGCACAATGACAAGTACACGTGATTTCGTCAAGTGTTCCTCCATTCTGACATACGGCACTGGTATCACACTCTGTCAAATTTTTAAGTGATTGATGAATCGAATTTTGGTCAGCTATAAAATTTAAATGCATATTTAACCAAATTTCTTTTCAATACGGACAATTCACAATAGTGTGCCTCCAAAAGTTTTCAACGCGCTGACGAATCAAATGGCGCGAAATTTGTCAACCCTTTTCAAACGCGCACTGGGTCGAAAGATATCGCATACTGTGATTGGTCAACACGTTGCAAACTCTTGGAGGCGCACTATTGTGAAATGCCCGTGTTAGGGATTTAATTTTTTTTCGAAAACTTTTGGAAATTAAAGACTGTCAGTCTTGGTCTTAAAAATTCAGATTTTTCTGGTTTTGTCCTGGTAAATCGAAAACATGACATCAACACCAGAAGTACAAAGTATCTGGAACAAAGTAAAGTAATAACAAGTAAAGCAATGTTCTATGTAAGAAGCAGTTTCCAGCAGTAATCAGAGCACTTCAATACCCCCAAACATTAGAAATATGAAGTTTCCACATTTTTGATATCCGAATATCTATGACAATTCTCAACACACCTGAACAGATGGGTGGTAAGTAGAAACCGGGACAATTACAGACGCAGCTGTCTGGCTCCTGGTCGCTGCCACCATTTTGGCAAGCTTTACAAGCTGAAAGAAATTGAAGAAAAAAGACTGTTCATTTGAAAGGTTGGAAACATTTTCAATTACTCGACAGTTCAACAAAGGTTTTGCGGTTTTTAATTTTTTTCACATGTCTTAACTAGTCACCCAAACCGACTTCAAAAAAGGAACGAGAAAAAAAGCATTGAAAAATCTGTGTTAAGTGGCAATGTTTTCTATTGGTAAGCATATTATTATAGCGCCGCTTGGAAAAAAAATATCATTGAACTCCAAAATGACTGCATTCATGAAAAGTTGTAGAATTAGATGCTACATTAATGAAGAGCTCCCTGTCATAGGTGTTACTATCAATAATCAGTAGTGCAACCTGTCGATGAATTCATCTTAGTCAAATAAGTTTCACGACCCAGTTGTTTTAGTTAGTCACTGATCCTATATATGTGGTATAAGATATAAATGTTTAGTCTGGAGTCAGTCTGAATCATTGCAATCGTTGCGACAGGGTTGTTTGAAATGCCTTCTTTTTTCTACGTCGAGTCATTTTCTTCGCGTCCCTCTGAACAGAAGAAAAGATGACTAAAATTGCAACAATGTAGAAAAAAGGGGCGTGACTAAAAAGACAGGAGCTACTTTCATGTAAAGCTTCATGAACATTCAAACAAAAAGCTGAAAGGAACCTTACAGTCGCATTTGGGTCCCGAGTAGGCGGGCTTACACGTGCACTCTTCGTTGCTACAAGAACATCCCAGGCTGTCATTTGCAGAGAGATTTGAACATTCCTCTCCAGGTTCTGTACAGACCACACGGCCAAAGATAGTTGGATCAATACTTCACAGATCAGTGAATCATTTAAATAATACACAATTAATGCGAATTCTGTCCTTTCATTATTTAACTTTTCCTGTTGATATACCATTAGCAAAGGATCAAACAGGTTTTACGGTCTTTTGGCCTCAGCTAATTTGGCTGGGACCGGCCTAACAATGTGCATGGATGTGAGACGTATAATACTTAGAAAGTTGCCACTATAATTCTTCAGGATTAGTTCATTTTGGGCCATTTCTTGTTTCTTGTTGATAGGAGAGGTTTTTAATCAAAGATTTAGAAGATGAAACCGCTATGTTGTACCTTGAAGTTCTGTTTTGGTGTTATTTTCCAAAACACATTTGATTATTATTTATTATTTTGGAGAGCGAGGGAAAAATCTAATTAAAAAACTCTAGCACTGATGCATCTGTCAAGCAAGACTGCAAGATGAACCGTGCCTCCTACATTATATATACCTAACTATATTAATTACAGTGTGTACTAATTTGAAAAAGTGACATACAATACGCACGTCTTCTGATCGCCCCCCTGTTTAATAGTGTTATCGACTGAATTCCCCTTCTGCCTCAAAACCCATGCTTCGTTTGAAAACAATGATCTTACTTTGCTCACAATGGCGGCCAGTCCAATCACCTTCACATTCGCAACTGCATGTATCCATAATGAAGGTGCCCTGGTTCATACAGTGATCAGCATTTGGCTCATAGCACTCTAATGACAAAATAAGACCAAGAACTTCTGGAAACTTGTAATACCGAATAAGGTTCTATCAAAACAACTCCACAAAAAATACAAAGAAACCAACTTCTTAAGCGACGGCATTCAGCTCTCTTCCAAATTATTCTTAACTATAATTGTAGATTGGTTTTTACATTCTGACAAATACTGAGTCTGCCGATCTATAAGGAAATACACCTTATTAAACACCAAGATATTTCAAATGACTCAAAATTCATTTAATTCCTGATAATCACTAAAACTACCGAGCTCCCACGGAGACAAAGGAAACATTACCATCACAGTCCAGACCATGATGCAACGTTGGGCATTGACACTGACACTGGTTTGGATCTTCACGGGTGCCTCCATTTTCACAAGTGCCACAAACTATCATCAAGCAAATTAATTTTGTTTCGAATTTAAAAAATAAAATCATCTGTTGATCAAACTTGCTTAAAATCAATGTTAAGAATTTCATTTTTAAAAACATTGAGCACAGAAGTAATTTCTTGAGAGAGGAAGCTCGCTCGGAATGACGTGCAGGCCGTTATGTTGGATCTGAATTAATTTTGATGCGTTCACGAGTGGCTTTTTCGAACAGGCTAAGGGCTGTGCCCATAAAAGTTAAAACACGTTTACTTTTAAATATCAAATCTTAATGACGCCGCTAACTGTAGGTAGTAAAACTGCACGCTCTACGGACGTTTCAGCACACTTCGAGCCTCGTTGCCTAACTTTAGAATTCAGAATCATTCACTTAGCGTACTTCTTCTCGTCATGAATATGGCTGAGATACCTTTATGCATGGCAGTAAAGAAATTGACATTTGCGGGAGTCGCATTTACAACAAATCGAAAGCCTATTTTGGGGCCAGGTGCGCTGCTGTTATACTTATGTTCACTTGCAGTGCCATGTGCGTGAAACCTGTGGTCTGACGTTACTCTATTAATGAATTTGTCTTAGTGATTTTCCTATATCAAGTCTTATTTTTTCCATTCAACATACCTTGGCAGTTTGGACCAACGTAGCCAGGCAAGCATCTACATCTACTTTGACAATTGTAGCAGTTGTTTCCGTCTGACTCGCAACCACTTCCTGAAACTAAATGATGGAAGGAAAAAAGACAGAACCCCGGGTCAATCTGTTTGACTCTGAAAGACTTGCCTTACCATGGCAGGAAATACAACATTTCTAAAAGTGTTATGAAGTAATGCTGAGGGTTATTTGATAGGCACTCCTTGCTTTACAAACTAAACCAATCCAAGTCAAATCAAACGAAACTATACAATCCAAAATGTTGAATGAGTTATGCTGTGAAGTTGTAGGCTAGTTTAAGATCATTCCGACAAGTATTTATATCTTTATAGTCAAGTGGAGGTTAGAATCTGAAACCTAACCTAAAGTAAACCGGGAGAATGGCGTAAAAAACGTACTTCTCATTACGGGGAATTCGCAGTCCAATTCCTTATTCCCCGAAGCATCCTCAGCAGAGCAGGTCACATCTGTTCGATAGGCGAGGAACTCCGACCCTTCTTCGGGGTAACACACGACCGTTGTAGGAACATCAGTATGGTTGTTATCCTTTGTCCACATAGGTCGGTAAGTCACCATAGTTTTCCGCGACCAAATTTCTCCAAATGGGCAGTTTGAAAGTTCAGGGGGCATAAAGTCTACGAGAAGATAATGAAAGTTACCTTTTCAAAGCAATCTCAATTAACTCCCTCCTGAAACGCTCTGTCGTCTTTTAATAAAAACAAACCTCTTCTCAGACCCAACACGGAAATGTTACGTGGTTTACCACAAAAACCCTAAATTCTACCTTAGATATGCAAAGTCTAGGCTTGTAGATGACTTTCCAGTAGTTTGTGACATGATTAGAGACAATCCCAGATATCTTTTCATTATAAGGGTCAAACAGGTTCACATGTGGAGTCACTTAATTGTGATTAATCGGGAAACACGATGGTGGTTTATGATTCACTCAAAACGTCGATTATGCTATCAGTGGAAATGAAAGTATTTCAGAAACACCACGAGCCTTTGTATGGTACTCTCAACCAATTTGAGAGAGTGCAAAGCCTTTCAATAATACATAACACAAGAAAGGGAACTGATGATAGCTCATGTGTCATAAGTCTGGGTTATTTCTGTATAAACTCTCATAAAAAACCCTGGTAATATTTTGTTTTACCAATTTCACAGCTTGCTCCCTTGAATCCATCTCTGCACGTACAATTGGAAACACCATTACAAACACAGCCTGGCCCCGGCTCACCAGAGAATGCGCAGATGCTACCGTCTTCGACTACGAAAACAAAGACGAAAACAATGGAAAACTAGGGATCTGTTTGAATTCGTTCCAAACTTGACAAATCATACTGTAGGCCTATTAGCCACTTAAAGATGGAAGCAGGCTGAAGCGACGTGGTATCACAATGAGCGGGGTAACTGCCACAGCATTTTCCAATAATGGAGTCACTGGGCAATCATTTGTCATTGTTACATGCCTAATAACTGTGGCAAAAGAATTAGAAGTGCTTGCCCTCCAACGCAAACAAAAAAGTGCAATGACCCCTCGCCGAGCCATTGGTCGTCGCTGGTATTCACCTGGTAATCGTCATGTACGTCTCTGTTCTTTAAAGTCTTTAACAATAATTGTTCATCAATCAACCTACAAACAGCCCTAATCTGGTCGCAATCTAAGTGCACACACAAAAATTATCTGTCGAGCTAGAATCTGACCTGAACTATTTGCTCATAGATAACCGTTGCTGTGAAACACTCGTTTCAAAATGAAACTTGACCGTTACCACAGAAAGGGTTGCAATAGTTCTGTTAGCTAATGCTGTTAGTAGGCTCTGCGCTATTTTAAAGCTTAAAAGATGGGACTTCGGGTCCCACAGTTGACGATGAATAAGCTTTGTAAGTTAGGAGAAAAACTTGGCAAAATTTAAATGAATTTGAAAAACGGAGAGTGTATTGATTATAGCAGACCAAAGGACCCAAGACTTACCTGTGCAGTCGATACCACTAAATCCATCAGCACAAGAACACGAATTTCCATCACATTCGCAGTTGATGTCACCATTATTGCAAGAACCTCCATCTAATCATTCATATAAAATTTTTAATGTCTGTAACTTTTTTGTGAATAATTTTGTTTCATTTGAGACCATAAAGACATTGTGGCATTGTAAAGACATTAAAGTTGCAATGTTAAAACTTGACGAAAATATTTTAAAAAAGGTGCTTGGACATGAAACTTCACAACAACAAAAAACAAATCAGCTTGAACTATCCCACCAGGCAGAGATAGATTTAAACCACAGAGCATTCACCTAGGTATATCTGGAAGGTGCAGTTCTCTTCGGCAGCGTTACCGGCCTTGTCGTGGACGTAGCAGTTCACATTAGTTACGTAGTCGGTGAGTTCTTCACCGGGCGCAGGTTCACACGTGACGTTAAGAGTGGGATGGCTGTTGTCTACAGCCATATCCACGGGCCATTCGTGTCGGAAGTCGTTGGTATGCATGTTGCCGGGGCAATAGGGAATCCGTGGTGGAACCAAATCTTGCATTTTGGGGCAAAAAAGAAAGAATTAGTGAGTGAGATGAGAAACTGAATAAAAAAGGACTTTCGAAGTTAATAACTCCTCTAAGGTAATGGTGGGCAGTTATATACTTGCCAAGTCTTTATCGAACTCTCAAGCCATTTTGGAAGGTGGGTAAGGGATTCTATAAGGGAACCTTGCTTGAGAATTGAAGTAAAACTTCGACAAACACCAGTGTAATCATTCTAAACTCACCAATTACAACTTTAAACGAACAATCTGCTCTGTTGCCGGCACTGTCCCTTGCCGAACAGGTTACTCCATGTACTGTCGTGTTGCCTGTACCAGCTGTCACCACAGTGCCGAGGGGAGGGCTGCATTCGATGGCAACTTGATTCCCGTCATTATCAGTAGCAGTGAAAGAGTCGTTGCCAGGAAGCACGACAGCTTTCTGAACGGTGTAAATATCCTGGGGGCAGATTATCTCGGGAACCTGGAAATCTAGAATCGTAAAAAAAATCATTATTAAGACCCGTATCAACAACAGCGACTCGTCGACGCCAGCAACAGCAAGGAAACCAACAATTATGACAACGACGATGACAACAACAGCGACAAGGTAATAAAAGCAACCGACTCGAAGATAGACTTTTCGCAGCTTTTGTTGGACAGTTGATACCTCCAAATTGATTACAAGATACCCAATTGTCTCTTTTTCGAGCAGAGGCTTTGAAAATCAGGGTTAACTGAGTCTTCATTTGCTTCAACCCTGGAGAGAAACTGGGCTATCCCTTGCCTCGATCTTGCCTGAATCTTTTAAACCTACTGATTCACGAATCCTTCTCACGTTGATTTCATTTTAGGAAAAACTCACCAAGCTCGCAGCTTTCTCCTTTGAACCCCTTGTGGCATCTGCATGGGCCCGCGTTGCAATCACAGGACGAGGGGGTGTTGCTTGTAGAGCATTTGTTGCCATCTAGAACTACGATTTCAATAGAATTGAGCTTGTAATATGGATGCAGAGCCATTTAGAATTACAACTAGCTAAAAGGGTTTTGTTAGTAGGAACATACTTTTGGATCTTATAAGGATGCACAATATAAACACAGCACTGACTTAGTGACTTGCATCAAAAAAACGGTTGAGTCAACCGGTAGCTACAGTCGCGTTAAACGCGTTATGAAGCTACACCGGTGAAAACTAACCATTTTCTTCCTCGTGGCTTTTGTGATGTTCCGTCTCAAATACATCTTCTTTAAAACCATCTTCTGCAATATCACCCTGTTCTATTGATTTCAACACTGGGATGAAGGTGAAGACTGTAAAGGGAAGTTTTATATAAATCTTGTCTGGTATACAGGGGCAAGCTGGTGTGGATGCCGTATATCGATAGATGCCTTTAGGACGTCAATGATTTAGGAAGTGGTAAGAGTGCGCCCCTTAGGTATGTCTTTTCATCCTACCTTGGCATGTCAGACCGCTGTAACTGTCAATGCACCCACAAGGATAGAAAAAGGGGCGGTACATGCTACAGGAACATTTGTCATTAGCGTTGTCTGGACGCTTGGGGCATCCAGCACCGTCCGCTGAAATGTTCAAAGAAAGGTTAGGGAGCGTATAGTCATACATGTATTTGAAATCTTCATCTGAAAAGTTCAAAATCAGTCTTTTCTAGAATGTGAAAACGTCTAATAATGCTCCCTTATTAGTTCTTTTATGTGGCTGGTTGATCTAAATAAATTGAAACATTTCAGAGTTTCAATAAATATGTATTGGACGGTTTGACATTTAAATCCTTGCCATTATTGTTTGTAGAAAAGTGTAACCGGAGCCCAAACTCATGGTAATAAAGTGAAAGGAAAATTAAAGTTTTGTATGTTAATACCTAGTTCGTAAAGAGAATTTCCGTCTCTTCTGTGAATCGTTGCTCACTTATCAGTGTAGTAAGTTAAGACACGGTTGGTTGAATTTTTCCGCATTGATCCATTTGTGTTCCCTCTTATATACAAAGCCAATTCTGCAGTATCCAATTCAAATATTCCAAGTTACCCATTTCATCTCACCACCTTCTCGTTCTACCTAATGCCGGGATCCCCCCCCCAAACTCTGTTGTTACCTGTGGTTTGCGTTGTGCAAGTTGCACCTTGGCACCATTTTTTGCCCGTTAGAGCTGAATTGGTATACTTTCTACGCTATTAAGTACCGGGTTGAGTTTAAAGTTCAGGATACCAGTACCTTGGCACAGATAAGAGGGGGGGGGGCTCCAATAACGAGGTCATCAAAACGAATGGACGATCAGTTCCCCAATTACCTTATAATTGTGTGTGCTGAATATTAAGGTAGACTTGACATACCCGGGGAATTAGGACACATGTGCCTCGGCTATATACTGCACTGTTTTAGGTTTAGGGCAACTATGACTTCAGGACAACGATCGTCGTTGAAATAAGATATGTTGACATATGCAATCGCTCTTCATAAATCGGGTCTATAAACGGTTTTTACGCTTGCAGTCATTTGGTGCATGCCTGCATTGCAAGGGATAGTATACCTTCATCTGTTTTATATTACAATTTCTTTAAAACACTTATTGGTACAGATTTCATATAAAATTGGGTTGCTCATGCGGTATGAAAATTAAGCGATTTTTGGCTTTAACAATAAACATTTCTCACATCATCAGGCAAATGTCAGTAGTTTTTTTTGTTAAAAATGCAATTCTTCAAAATTGTCATTAGTATGGGATATTCAGCCAAAGTACGATAAGTAAATTACTGAAGGGACATAAAATTCACTACTAGTCGTAAATATTTGTGCAACGTCGTGAATTTATTGAAGACCTGTCGCGAATGTATTTGAGACGTAACGAAATTAGTCACGACTAATCGCGAATATTTTGCACGACTAGTGGTGAATATTTTTTGCAATGCCCTGAATATATTTCATGACCAGTCTTAAATTCTTTTCCGACGACGTGAATATTTTTCACGACATGTCATGAATAAATTTACTAGTTCAAACTTCGTTGCGAACATCTTTTCAGTAACTTGAAGAGTTCGATATTTGCCCAACCGGCACGAAAAGGCTTTCTATAGGCCGTCCAAAACAGGCTTCCAGAGCTACGGCTACATAGGTTTGTTCTCTGTGCGTCTCCGCGTATTTCCAAATGTGGTGAATGACCTAGACCTAGTTCTAGGAAACAGCTTTGGACGCAGCCTAAGTCATTATGTGGAAAGCAAACCTTGCTTTTCTGAGCCATGTCATTTGCCAGTGCCTGTTTTTCTCCCAATGCGTCGCACGTGGACAACCACGCAATAGTACATGTTTAATACATGTATACATATGTATACTTGTGTGGTAATTCCTTTGTTCTCGTGTACAAAACTCCCATATAACACGAAAAAAAAAATTCAAACCAAATTCAGTTTCCTGGGTTGAAATTTCGACAGTATGACCCTTATATAAAACACTTCAATTTGCGAGGGATGAATGGCACTTGAAAATTCCTCCTTTTTGAGTAAATTTGAAATATCTATTTCGTTAAATTTTTGTGGGGCACCATTATAGTACCCCACAAGGATCAAAACTGGCCTCGTTGGGTACCTTCCATTGTTCCGGTACCCCACAAGGCACCATGTACAAGCGCACGTGTACATGCATCATTGCGCGCTGTACTGTGCAGAAGTTCAAGCCAGGCTAGACAGGCACTTATCATCATGGATTTGCCATTTATATTAGTGAACGTACCCTCCAAGCAAATCGGAAAATATTCCCAACTAGTGGAGAAAGAATGTGCGACGCGGCGAAAATATTCGCCACTAGTCGTGAAAATATTCACGACGTCGCACAAATATTTGCGACAAAAATATTTGTGAATTTAAATGTCCCTTTAGGGCCACCATAGACATACAATCATTTGATTTTGCTTAAAAATTAGGTAAACAATATGTTCATTTCATTACTCAGGCGTGTTTACTCACGTAAATATATGTTAAAACTGCAAGTCGCTATGTAACCATCCCAGTCTTTGGCAGTGCAAACCACTTTTGTAGTGTAAGCCGTGTACAGTGTGGGCTGATGAGAATGATCGCATTCAACATTTACGCCGAGTCCTGAGTCAGTCCTTGCTGTAGGAAGAGCCCATTCTGCTTCGCCTGTCTTTGAGTAAATGTTCCCTGGGCAGTTTTCAATGGTCACTGAGGTAGAAGAAGTAATCAAAAGAAATACATTTTTAATTACTACATTCAGTATCTTCCCTCTTGTTATGTATAGGATGTCCATAACAGGGCAATGAGTTGGGATAAACTAGATTCTCATTGATATAGAAATACATTTTAGCCCTTTTTCCCTTTGGACCAGATGCCAAAAGACCACGTTTACTGGGGATGCTGTTAGTATGATGGTTACCCACTTCCTTGGATGAAGCGTGCAATTCCTTCGGGTCCTGATATACAGAATGAATGCTGGTAGATAACACTGCAGCTGAGATCAGATAAGCTGCAGTTTATAACCTCTCGGAGCTTCCATGAAGAACCTGCACGACCCCAAGTGTCTCACGGAGGTTTCACCCTTGTTTTTCATTGGTGACAGGCCGTAATGAATTCATTTGCATAAAAACTTAGAAGCGGTTTGGCACGGATGTATTCATTCTACTGTACATCGACTCACCTTGCGACACAGCACTTTGGACCAATCCGGCAACAAATATTAGTTTGCAGAGCTGCCCAAGTGCCTCCATTTTCGCTGCACTCAAATTCAGTATTGACGATAATTAAACAAAAATGATGAATACCCTTCCGACGAGCCAAGGTCAAGGTGCAATACCGGGAAGGACTTAGTCGTTGCTGCGTGTTAGATAAATCAACCCCCAAAATACTATTAAAACACAAACAGAGACCCACACATACAGAGATTAAATTGTGATTGGAGCACACCTAAATAAGCAAATTGTGACAACTTCTATTGTTATAGAGTCCAAACTTTCAACGAAGTCAAAACGATAACGACTGGAGGTAAAGTGTGCACAATTGACACTAGTTGTACGAACATTGCGCGTATTGACTCATACTGGAGAAAAAATAAGCCGTAAGAAGCGATAAAATGACAAAGCCTCTTCGTGAGGTGCCTGTAATAGCACCAAGGTTAGGGGACAGTAAGCTGTCCATAAACTGACCAAACCTTAATGGATCTCAACTGATCTGGACATATTAGATGTAACCAATATCTCTCGTAGAGAATGTCCGAGGGTGCCAGCGGTTTTGTGCATCTAGATCTGTACCGCGCGATCTTGTGTTGCTAGCTCCCTCTGTGCCGTTTCTTTTGTTTCATGCACTCCTCTGTGTAGACTCGAAATAATTAAGTCGTCTGTCGGTCGTTTTTGTCGTGCATAACAACCAGTGCAAGCCAGCATGCCGCGTTGTTTTACAATAAGTGGTGAACCAGTGAGGTAGTCTGGTACTTTTTGAGAACCAAGTTCTCTACCAAATGTTTAACTAGTTAGGAGGGAACAAAGCTGAACTACATTGACATTTGATGGTACATGCATAAAGGTAAGATTACAAAGCAATATAATGACTTCAGGCCTTCACTGTTTGGTTAAAATTAACTTGTAGGAGAAAAGTACTCGGAAAGTACTCGGCCGAGTACTTTCCGTCGAGTACTTTTCTCCTTAAAACTTAAAAATTACACAACTGGAAGTGTCTGAAGTCTAACATTTATTTTGTAAACTTACCTTTGCACATTTACCATCAAATGCCTATGCACTCTGGCTTTGTTCCCTCTTAATCAGTTCAGTATTTTGCAGAGAACATTGGTACTCGGAAAGTACTCGACTACAACACTGTGCTGAGCCCGTTCACCTTTCCCCGCACGTCCTGCGCAAATTCGGCCCTGACACGACGCGTGGTTGTGGGTTGTTCAGTAGTGGGTCTATTCTGGTACTCTGTTAAATACAAGATGTCCCCGAAGAAACTAAACCTTGAAGAAAGGGGTTAATATCCGAAAAGTAAAAGCAGTATTTCTTTCTAATGATACCTCGATGGTATCCCTCCTGTCATGCAGGACTGAACACCATCGTCTTGAAAATGGGGCATCCGAACTCAGATGTAACACTTTGGATAAACCAGTAAATGAGGTTGCCCTCTGTCATGCTTGTCCTGGTTGAAACACTGAGTTTGGATACCCCATTTTCAAGACAATGGTGTTCAGTCATGTTTGACAAGAGGGATACCATCAAGGTATCATTAGAAAAAACACTGCTTCTACTTTTCGGAGATCCTTATACATTATAATGATATCTCATGGTTTAGGCATATTAACCCCTTTTCTCAGGGTTTGTTTTTTTTTCTGGCTCACCTTGTACAGCCTCACACAAATATTACCAGAGCAAACGCAGCTACGGATTAAATTGAGGGTTGTGGGGTAGGGTATTTTGCAATAATTGTACCGGTGATTTTTATCGTTTATGCCACATCATGAAAACTGTTATCTGTCCTTCTACAACGGCTAGTGTGATTTTATGATTATGCCACGTACGCAAGTTCTGCTCTATCGTCTACTGGTATCTGTATTCACTACTTTTCAATCTTTAACTTTTCAGATGTGGTTTTCATTAAAGAATGTTTTATTTGAAATATGGATTTCTGCTAACCACAGTAACAGGGGATGAAGCCAATGGAGCCCTCCATCCCACGTGTTTTTACCCTCTGATGTACATTTTGGAGGGGGAGGAGGTAGTGGTAAGTCTACGTTTTGTACACTTATGAAAACGATGAGAATTATGGACTGCCCCTAAGTGACAAGTTCTACCACCCTTGAAATAGAAACCAAGACTAACCTCACAATGAAACAGTAGAACCAACAAGCGACAGATTGGCAGCTAAGCCGTGACACCAAACGAAGTGAGCACCAATCTGTGGTTGGACGGACGTCTTTCTCATGACACGTTGCCAGTGATGGGAAATGAAGTGCTTCCGTCAAAACAAAATTGTCCAACTTTTCTGTCTAAGTCCAATTGGTTTAGCGTAAATTCACAGTTAGTACCATCATTATCATCCTTCCTCCTAAGTTATATAAGGTACAATGGTCATGTTTACAGAGCTCAATATGCATGTTACCACCTTCGACCCTGAATCAATTTGTTATACCCGTAACGTAAACAGACATTAAGATGCAGGGAAGGTTTGGGTGGGGTGCGCCCTCTCTAGATCCACCACTGAGGGTCGGCAGACAATAAACATCAGTGCGAGCGGCAGGACGTATGTTGAGGAAAATCTACATCAACGCACTTCCTTACGTCTTTGAGTTACCGATCGACGAAGGAGACAAACCCTTTATGCATCACTTCCCCCGACCATGCTTTCAGTTTGATGGAGTGTTACTGTTTGAAAGTATGCCTTTAAATTCACAAAAGTATACGAATTATCCCTAATCACTTGATTATTCGTTGAATGTCTGAATAAATCACGTTGTTGTTGAGGTTACCGGCAATCTAATTGTCAGGTGTCCTTGTTGCTGTGTAATGTCTAATTGGCAGAGAGCGTCACAGTCATCATAATCGGCGGTATATTACCACCAAAACAGATCTGCTCCCTCGAGTGATCTCAGGACCGAGGAGGAACCCAAGTTTAGGCTAGAGTCGAGACCCAAACCGGTTTCAGACTTGATCCTCCAACTTAGGTTAGGCTTGGGAAACAACCACACCGCCACATAGACCTACTTAAACAAGTCCCTCTATTTGGCACGACAGTCTAAGAATTTATTATGTGTGGTCGATATTTGTGATTGTCACAACCTTCACTGCAGGAAAGTGGAGAAGACTACATTCTTCTGACAGCACCACTGCTGTTGAGCTCTTTTCCTGGTGTTGCGATCCAAGTTGATCCAAATTTATGAAGATTCGTCTCCCCGAAAAGGCATTTTTTGAATTCATGCACGTTTGTAAAACCTGTAAAAGACTCCGTAGTCATTTGTTCGCCCCCAGTCAGTGCCTATACGCTCTTAGCATGTACGTTCCAAAACAGCCAGCGCTGGGTCAGCACCTCCGTGCCGTCTTCTACCGGTCTGCTCCTCGTCTTCGCTGGACCCAGGCGGAGGCTCCATGAAGAAACCGAATCTGGGGGATCGACACGATCCCGGCCCGGTCCACAAGTGGACCGGGCAGGGATTTGAACCCGGGCCGCAGAGCTGGAAGGCAAGGAAAGAACCACTACGCTAACCTGACTCCACATTTTTACTTCTATGATTTTGCTTGTCCAAAACTCACGCTGTTTTTGCATGAGAAGTTTAAGTTGGAAAAAAAAGCAAAACAACCAAAAAAACAAAACAAAACAAAACAAAAAAC